GGGGCTGAGATCTGGTGGAGGAGGGGTGGGCGGGCTGACCCAGCTCCTGAAGTTGGCAGGCAGCCAGAAAGGAGGGGCCAAGGAGGAAGATCAACTATCAGAGTTAACGACTGGCCCAGGGTAGCTCAAATGTTCCCGGAAGTGCAAGCGCGGGAAAGAGTAGTAAAATTGTGTGCAGAGGGTGTGTGCCCCATGAGCCCTGCAGACGTGGCAGCTCCGGGTAGGGGCTGAGCGGGGGTAGCCAGCTCGCCTTTGCCTACCTGGCCTCGAATCCCAAGGGAGCCCCGCACCAGTCCCGGACAATGAACCAGGTAGACTCTTGCTCATCCCTTCCTGCCAGGCTGGCCTGACTCCCTGCAGGGGCCCCAAGCCTTTCCCAGTCCTGGGCTTCCCCCCCAACCCCCTACATCCGGTGCTGCTTTCCTGTCCTCTGCCCTGGAAGCCCTATGGTTGGTCCCTGAAAGCTCAAGGAGGGGCGGTGAGTATTGGGCTTTCCACATTATGCAAAGGGAGATGGGATAGAAAGGACAGTGTGACAGAGGACAATTGGGGCAAGCCATTCCTGAGTCCCAGTTGCCTACCCATGAGGAGGGCAGGGCTGAGGGCTAGAAGGGTGCCCCTCCCCCTAGGGTCTGCAGCATGGTCCTGCTCGGGAGAAGCTGGGGAGAAATGTTCCTCAGGCTTGTGATGACCTCACTCTGGGGATTACAGTTTTGAGCTTTGTTTCCTTCACTGCCATCCAGCAGGGTGGAGATAGATAGGTGGGGATTATGTCCCCATGCTTTTGGTAGAACCCAGAGATCCTGACAGGGGGAGACTGGCACTGAATCTCCTCAGTTTGTCCTTGGCAAATCCAGGAATATACCGTGGATACTGCCCCCTCAAGCCTCCAGAACTTGACCCTGAGGCCTGGGAGCAGGGGGCACATAGTATAGAATGAGGCCTCCCTGCCTCACCCCAAGCTTCTGGGGTTCTTTGTGCTCTGTTTCCTCCCCCAGAGGAGCACCTTTCTGCCTTCCAGTGAGTGGGAGTAGGGGAGCCTAAGAGGCCAGACAATGATTCCCTTTCTCCAGGACTTTAAGAAGCAGCTAGCTGTTCACTTCCCACTGCCCAGAACGTGGGACAGCAGCCCATAGCATGCTCAGATTCTTGACCCAGGACACAGGACCTATTTAGGAATCTTGCTAAGACCTGGGAAAACAGGCAGGCAGTGGGAAGGGACTTGGGACCAAATTATTGGCCAGACTATAATGATGCCCTTCTCTTCGCCCCTTTCTGAGCAACTTTAACTTGCTGTCTTTCCATTTCTTTGTCTCTGTCTCCATCTTTATTTCAGTCTCCATCTTTATCTCCTTTTCTTTTCCTTTTCCCATGTGTATCTTTCTCTCTGTATCCTCCTCTGTCTTTTGTCTTTGTCTTTTATTTTCTGTTTATGTGTGTGATTACCTCTGTTTCTCTGTCTCTCTTCTGTGTGTGTGTGTGTATGTGTGTGTGTTTTCCTCTCTCAGTTTCTCTGTCTCTCTGTTTCCTTTGGGTGTCAATCTCTTTCTATTTTGGTCTTTTTCTTTGGAGGGGGGTCACTAGGGATTGAACCCAAGGGTGCTTTACTTCTGAGCTACATCCCCAGCTCTTTAAAAAAATATTTTTTAGTTATAGATGAACACAGTCTCTTTATTTTATTTTTATGTGGTGCTAAGGATCAAACCAGTGCCTCACACATGCGAGGCAAGCGCTCTTTCTCTTAGCCACAATCCCAGCCCTCTTCAGCCCCTTTTGTTTTTTAATTTCCTGCTAAATTGCTGAGGCAGGTCTTGAACTTGCAATCCTCCCGACTCAGCCTCCTGAGTTGCCAGGATTACAGGCATGCACCATCACTCCCGGCTCCATTTTGACCTTTTTCTGTGTGTACATGCCCACTTCAGCCTCTCTTTTCTCCTCCCCTCCCAGACTGATGACTCCTCCTCCAGCTGTGAATGGTTCATTGGGGCAGGAGCCCCAGAGGCAGCTTCCAGAGGTGCTGGGTGGAGCCTGGGAACCACTTCAAGGAGACGGGCTGCCACCACTCACCATCATTGTTGCCGCCTTTGTCCTGCTTGCGGTCTGTATTGTGGTGGCAGTCCACTTTGGGCCAAGGCTGCACCAAGGCCATGCTACTCTCTCCACAGAGCCACCAGCTCCAAAGCCAGAGTATGGCATCTACCTCATCCACTGGAGGCTGCTGGGCCCCCAGGACAGTCATAAAGAAGACCAGCAGGGACCTCCTATCCCTGGATCTGATCCTACTCCAGAAGGGCCCAGGCCCAGTATTGATGAAGAAACATATCTGTAAGAGGGAGATTTGGGAAGTTAATCTGATCTGGCTCAGCACAAGAAACTGGACTGAGAATTAGAGCAAAAGCAAATTGGAGCCTAAGCATCAGAGCTGTAGATGGGTATACTGGACTGAGCAGGAGCTGCCCTCTCCAAATGTTTCTGAAAAGAGCTCTTAATGGACAGGAAAAATGAAAGAAGCTTGAGAGCAGGGCCCTGTGCAGAGGACTGCTGCTGTGGGTGTCCCCAGGGTCTAAGGTTTATGAAGACTTACCTCCCTTCACAGAGCTCCTGACCCTTAAGCTCTGAGTCCCTGCCCACACCATCAGCCTTAATCTCCTTCCCTTTTGGGGTAAAGTGAATCCACTGTGAAAGATTCCACCACCCACCTCAATTCTAATCAGGAATGTCAGATGCTCCATAGAGTGCTCAGATCCTATTAAAGTCCAGTCAGGGACAGCCACAGCAAAGAACCCATGATCTGCCTTTTCTGAGATTCTGAGGACTCAAGGAAGGAAAGGTTGCCTTTCACCCATGATGGAGCAAATCTTGGTGCAGGGCCTAGGTTTTGTTGACAATGTCTAAAGCCTTTGGAAATCCCAAGCACCATTTATAGTTCAAAGACTGCCTTTGAATGGACCCCACTGACTCTGTCTTGCCTTCTCAGGGTGTGATGGGGGAATTTGGGGATTCTCATCATCTCCCACTTTCTATCCACATGGTCCTGTAGAAATAAGCCTAGAATTTACCACAAAACATTTCCTACCCAGGCACAATGGCACAATCTTAGCTACTTGGGAGGCTGAGGCAGGAAGATTGCAAGTTTGAGGTCAGTCAGTGCAATTTAGAGAGTCCGTCTCAAAATAAAAAATAGCTCAGTGGTAGAGCAACTGGGTTCAATTCCCAGTACTAAAACAAAACAAAACAAACGAACAAACAAGAAACACCCAGACAGATGCAAATACCAAGTGGTAGAGTCAGGACATTATATCTATTTACCTGTTTTATAGTACTGGGTAGGGATGGAAGCCAGGACCTCATACATGCTAGGCAAGTACTGTATACTGAGCCACATCCTTGACCTGGAGTCAGGGTTTGAACTTGGGGCCATTAAGCTCTACACACTGGCCACCATGCTGGGCGCTGATGGGTGGAGCAAGGTCAAGTCCGAGGCCCTTGATTCTGGACTGGTTTCTGGTGTAAGAGTAACTGACATGATGGAAGAATCTCAGGTCTTGGAAGGAATATGGCTGGAACAGCTGGGCAAGGGGATAGTTTCCCCCTTGATTCCCTTGACTCTGTTGTCCATAGGAGTAGCTGGTTTTCTCTGTGCGGAACATTTCTTCAAAATGATGCTGCACTCAGAAATGCTTATTGAGCATTTGTGATAAAAATAAAAAGGTGGAGGGGCTGGTTTGTAGCTCAGTGGTAGAGCACTTGCCTAGCATGTGTGAGGCAAAGGGTTTGATCCTTAGCACCATATAAAAACAAATAAATAAAATAAAGGTATGGTGTTCATCTACAAATGAAAAAAAAATTTAAAACAAAGGTGGAGCTAGCTATGGTGGCATGTCTGTAATCTCAGCGGTTCAGAAGGCTGAGGCAAGAGGACCACAAATTCAAGGCCAGCCTCAGCAATATAGCAAGGCTCTAAGCAAATTAAAGAGACACTATCTCAAAATTTAAAAAACATAATAATAAAAATGGCTGGAATTGTGATCCAGGGATAAAGCACCCCTGGGTCCAATCCCCAGTACCAAAAAAACAAACAACAAAAACCGTACGTATCAAAAAACAAAGTTGGAAAAGCAACAAAGGTAGGAGGGAGGGAGCAAGTCATCCCAGATGGAACTAGTAGAAACAGGCTGCCTTCCCCCCCAGTGAGGGGCAACTGTGCCACCACAGTGGCTCTGTTCTGAGGATGATGCCATAACATATGGCATGATGACTAGCTGTGTTGTCCAAGACATCCCAGGGGATGTCCCATCTTCTCACACAAACTCTTCCTCCTTGATCCTATCGCAGGCTCTCTCATCTGGGGACATTTATTCAGTGGGCCCTGGATGCCACTCATGGCATCTGTGTACTGGTTCAGCCTATCCTCTGGCCCCTGCTCCCCAAGCCACTCACCGGAGATACTGAAAGGGCATTGAAAAGGCAGGGAGGTTAGGGGATACCGCCTGACTCTATGCTCTTTGCCAACTGGTAGGCTCTGCCCAGACTGAAGTGGCACCCACCCCACACTGCCCTGTATAGGATGAGAGGTGCGTGGAAACATGCTTGGATTTAGGTCTGAACATCAGAGCAGATAAACACAATTTTTTTTTTTAATCTGGCAAAGTCCAACAGCAAAATGATGACATACTCAAAGTAGGTAATCTGAGCTCAAAAAAGGACTAGAGAAATGACTATTGAGAGTCAGGTGTGGTGGCACAGGCCTGTAATCCCAGATGCTTGGGAGGCTGAAACAGGAGAATTACAAATTCAAAACCAGGCTCAGCAATTGGGAGGCACTAAGCAACTCAGTGAGACCCTGTCTCAAAATAAAATATGAAATAGGGCTGGGGATGTGGCTCAGTGGTCCAGTGCCCCTGGGTTCAATTCCTGGTACACCCCCCCACACACACACACACCACCACTTCAAATAAAAAGGGACATTGAAAAAGGGCAGGACATAAGGAAACCACAAGTGAGAGTGAGGCCTTTACTGGAGAGCCAATGCCATTGCCAGGGGTAAGGAGAGGAGGCAGTTCCCCAAACCTGGAGATGGACAGGTTTGCCAGGAGGGTCACTTGTCAAGAGAGCCCACTCGACTTTTGAACTGCCAGGAGGGAGCTGGGATAAACACCCCAACCTCTTCCTCCCTCCATTCTCCTGCTGAAGCTCCCCATTGAGCAAAGATGACCAGAAATCCAAGGACAAGAGAGTCTGTTGTGCCACCCAGACAAATCTGTCCCTGGGCACTAGAGGGTCTAACGGAAAATAACTGGCATACCCCTTAAGTTTACCTGGTACTTAGAGCTTAGACAAAACTTCTACATATGCACAGTCCTCACAACAACCCTGTGAGGTAGGGCAATAATTATAATCCCATTTTGTAGAAGAGATTACAGCTCAAAAAGGTAAAATGGCTTGCCCATGGATACAGGACTCATCTGGAGATGTCAAGTCCAGAAACTTTCTCTGCAAAGTCCTCTTTGGGAGGCATGGCTCTGCTGAACATCCAGCAGTTGAAGCAAGCTCCAGTTCTGATTCTCGAAGGCTCAGGCAAGATGACCCTGGGCCTCAGAAGACATCAGTGCGGAGTGGGAGAGGCTGTTCCATATCACTGATGAGGAGCTTGGGCTCTTGGGACAGGGTGGAGGAACTGGGCACCACTGAGGTCCCCATGGTGCTCAAAGTAACCTCCTCTTTTTCCTCCTGCCGCATGTGCCGGAGAACTTCCTGTGACAGCAAGAAGCTGCTCCCCTCTGCAGATTCTGGAGTGGGGTCATGGGACAGGAGTTAGGATCCTAAACCCACTGGAACATACTTAGAGAAGATCCCCCATTCCTCCCTACCCCCTCTTCCCACCCACCCACAGCCTCTGGGGCTAGAGGCTCAATGGAATCCTAGTTAGAAGTGGTTTTAGAGGTCATGGAATTCCATTCTCTTGGTCTTAGAGATGGTGATACAAAAGGTCACACAGTCAAGGTAGAGCTGAGGCTGCAGCCCTCTTCTCTTGTGCTCCCTATTCTCTAGCCAAGGACTCTTCTGCTTCCCATGGCATTCCTAGATAAAACAAGGGACTCCCAGAACCCACCTCTTCAGGCTCCACCCAGTGTCTATAGCCAAAAACCTCAGAAAGCAATCTAGTGTCCCAGGTTGGTAGGGGAACCTTTCCCACAGAAGAAAGGGGCAGGGTTTGACCTCCCTGACCACTTGAGATGGCTCAGGAAAGTGCTGCCTTCTTACTCTCTAGGGACCCACAGACCCTGACTCCTCCTGCCCCCCCAGTCTATCAACCCCTCACCCTGGTAGACAATGAGGCGACAGTTGTTCTGACACTCAGGGACTTCTGCCAGGATGTCCTCAAGTGTTCGACAGAAGAGTTTGGCCTGTTCAAGCCGATCCTCCCGGCTAAAGCCAGCTCTGCCATCCTGTGACATGGCAAACAAGGTCTGCAAGGGGGTGGCATACTCCAGGACACAGGTACCTGCCTGGAGGAGGTGAAAGAAAGAACAGATTGAGTTTCTGTCTAGGCAGACAGACTCTGGACTGCAGTGCTTTGGGCTGAGGCCCCGTTCCCTCAGTCTGCAGAAACCGAGTTCTGGGAGGTGGCCACTGATGATGTCTGTGCTCTCTGATCTGCCTTCACCTGACACCTCCCTCCTGAAATCAGGACTAGATCGGGCAAATCTTATCCTTCACAGATCCTTCTAAGATCCCAGGGCAAGACCTACAGCAGCTGCTCCAGCTGGAAGTGGAGTCTGGGTGCGGGGCTCTGGGCTCCAACTGTGGTCTGGGTTTCCCCATACCTACAGGAAACTCTTTTTTTTTTTTTTAATATTTATTTATTTATTTATGTATCTTTAGTTTTAGGTGGATACATTAGCTTGTTTTTTATGTGGTGCCAAGGATCGAACCCAGTGCCTCATGCATGCTAGGCATGCACTCTACCACTGAGCCACCACTCCAGCCCCAGGAAACTCTTCAGATGGTCTCACAGCCTGCATTTAGGGCAGCTTGGTGATCAAGAGCATACTATACTCAAGCTGAAATCATCCACTTTTTCACTGTCTCTGAGCCTCAGTTTCTTCCTTTGTAAGGTAGGCATCGTAACAGTCCCTATCCCCAGAGACATGGTGAGTTTCAATGGAATGGTAATATGATCCACTCAGAATGGCACCTGGCATGCAGTAAATGCTTAAGAAATGTTATTTACTATTACCATTCAGAACTGAATCTTGCTAGCCCTGGGACCAACCGAGGCTCGGAGAAGCATCTTGAATTTTTATCAGTGCTTGGTCAGAGCCCAGGGTCCTGGAGGTCTTCCAGGGACCCCCTACCTCCTTGTGAACTCACCGGCTTCCCATTCTCCAGAAGCTCATAGATGCTGTTGGAGTAAACCCGGCCCTTGATGCCAGCACGGTCAGCACTCTGCTGGGGCAGAGTATGCAGGAAGCGAATGTTGGGGTCAGCTACACTCAGGTCATCAGGCACCCCACACTCCAGCGGGAAGAGGATATACAGCCGTTGGCTCCCTGCACCTCGTAGCATGTTGTTGTGGAACTGGTTATAAGTTTGGATCCGAGCCCGGAGTCCTAGGTAGGGAAGTCAAGAAGTCATCTCTGTAAACCCTGCATCCCATGAAATTCGGGACTAATACCAAGGCCATTGTCCTACCTTAGTCTATGGGTACAAGAGAATTGAGGGTCTAGTCCACTCTCATTGTGTGTTTGCTTTGGGACTAGAGGTTGAACCTAGAGGCTCTTTGCCACTGTGTGACATCCTCAGCCCTATGTTTTGTTTTTGGTACTGGGGATTGAACTCAGGGGTACTTAATCATAAGCCACATCCCCAGCCCTTTTTTGTATTTTATATAGAGACAGGGCCTCACTGAGTTGCTTAGGACCTCACTAAATTGCTGAGACTGGCTTTGAACTCACGATTCTCCTGTCTCAGCCTCCTAAACTGCTGGGATTAAAGGTGTGCACCACCATGCCGGGTCCCAGCCCCCACACTCCCTTTTTTTGGTACCAGGGATTGAACTCAGGGCACTTGACCAATGAGCCTCATCCCCAGTCCTATTTTATATTTTTATTTAGAGACAGGGTCTCACTCGGTTGCTTAGTGCTTCACTTTTTGCTGAGGCTGGCTTTGAACTTGATATCCTCCTGCCTCAGCCTCCCAAGTCACTGGGATTACAGGCATGTGCCACCATGCCAGGCCCAGCCCTTTTTATTTTCTTATTTTGAGATAGGATCTCACTAAATTGCTGAGGCTGGCCTCAAACTTGTAATCCTCCTACCTCAGCCTCCTGAGTTGCTGGAATTATAGCCATTCCACCATGTCCAGTTCAAGTCCAATCTCATAGTATAGGAGGCCAGCGAACGGTGGAGAAGAGTACCTAGTGGTCTTCTTCCTAAACCCACCACCCTGTTTCTCCTTCTCCTTTTCACAGACTTCAGTGCCAATTCTTCCCCTTCCCATCACAGCTTTCAGAGCTCTCAGAGGTGGCCAGAGCTCTGGGAGGTGAAATTGCTAACATTTTCTGGCAGAGAGCCAGGCCTTTAACTCCAGAACCATCTCCTAGGAGAAGCCCTAGGGCGAAAGGCAGGTAGCCATAAGATGTGGAAGAGCTGCAGGCTTGGCCTGCATGTCAAAGGAATAAGACTTATGGCTCCACAGTGAAGGGGTCAAGGGTTCAGGTCTGGACAGAGCTGGGATCAAGTCCTATCTCCTCCTCTCACTAAGCCCACTAAGCTGTATAACACTGAACAAGTCACTAATCTCTCAGAATCACACTTTTCTTATCTCTTAAATAGGGATAAACTGGGTGCAGTGACTCACACCTCTAAGCCCAGCTACTTGGGAGGCTGAAGCAGGAGGATCACAAGTTAGAAGCCAGTCTCGGCAATTTAAAAAGACCCTGTCTCAAAACAAAAAATATAAAGGGCTGGGGATGGATGTGGTTTGGTGATTAAGCATCCCTGTGTTCAATCCCCAATACAAAAGAGAGAGAGAGAGAGAGAGAGAGAGAAAAACAGGGATGATAACTATCTCTTCTTCATAGATATGAGTTAAAAAAGGAAAAGCACAAGGCATAGGGTAAATATTTATCAAAAAACATTCACAGATGACCTTAGGCAAGTCACTGAATGGCTTCCGGCTCCACATTCCTCACTGCCAAACAAGCAGAGTAACAACATTGTTCAGGCTGACAAGGATGCTTTGGGAATCCAATAATTTGATAGACACAAAAATGCTTTGAAAAATATAGTGCATTCTAGGAATACAAGAGGCTATGTGTCGGGCTGGGGATGTGGCTCAAGCGGTAGCGCGCTTGCCTGGCGTGCGTGCGGCCCGGGTTCGATCCTCAGTACCACATACAAACAAAGATGTTGTGTCTGCCAAAACTAAAAAATAAATATTAAAATTCTCAAAAAAAAAAAAAAGAGGCTATGTGTCTTATGGTGTCTAGGAATGAGTACACAGAGAGCAGCCTACCTGGCAGGATCAGCCGCAGGTATCCAACGTAATATGACCATGCCAGTCCTTGGGCGACGTTGAAGTTCCTTTTTTCACAGACTGCAGAGACTTCAGCTGGGGCCAGGCCCTGTAGGCAACAAGATGGGACCAGAGCTCTCCTCTTCCAAGAAGCTTTCCAACCTGCTGATGACTTGCTCACTTCTCTGACACCACTGAACCTACCATCCCAGGACATTACAGACTCCACTCCCAGGACTCCACTCCCAGCTCTAAGCTTAGGCAGATCACACAAGACCATGCCCCAATTCAACCAGACCTTCTATCTCCCTCTGCACCATACCTGGAGACCCAGGAGGATGCTCAGGGCCTGTGAGAAGCCCAGGAAGGCCAGCATCGAACTGAGGGGCTGGCCAGTGGGGTTTGGGAGGGAGCAGTAGAAATAGCAGGACAGCAGCAGCACAGCTCCACGGCGGATGGGACAATCCACACAGGCCCTCACAGCCTTCCAGTAGCTACCTTGGTACCTGCAGAGGACATCCCAGACCCAGACCCAAGACCAGTTCAGCCAGAGACCTTTAAGGAGGGGACTGGAAGTCAAGGGAGTGACACTGGTGGGGAACCCAATTGCCACAAGGATTATAGGAAGTCACCTGGAATGGATGTGGCATAGCTCCTCAGCCAGACAGCAGATCCCTTTTAACAGCAGTCCCAACTGCAGAGAGGCTAAGTAGAATACCAGGTACTGAAGAGTATGGTCTGGAGAATTTCCAAGTCCCCAAAGGGCCACCAGGCAGGCCCCCAGCAGGATCAAGGCCATCTGCTGGGCCCGGTGACCCCTGGGATGTGGGATGGATGGATGCAATCTGGAGCATGGCATCTGTGGGCACCAAGAAATCCATGACATGCTCTGTCACTCTCCTGCCCTTCTGGGACTAAGGCCCTGGCTGGCACATCCTCTAGTGTTCCCATTCCTGGCGCCCAGTCATTCTCTCAGATTTGTCTTAAAGATATCTCTAAGGGATAGCTCAGGCACACAGCACCCCACAGCTACTGTCTAGGACAGATTTGTGGTGAACAGACCAAGGCCTGCACACAAACACTCCACCCAGCCCCAGTGAGACCACAGGTGTGGAAAAGAGACCAGGCAGAAGCTGGGTGCAGTGGTGCATGCTTGTAATTCCAGGGGTTCAGGAGGCTGAGACACAAGGATTGTAAGTTTGAGGGCAGCTTCAGCAAACTAGCAAGGTCCTGTCTAAGAGAGAGAGAGAGAGAGAGAGAGAAGAAAAAAGAAAAGGAAGGAAGCAGGGAGTAACTATCCCCAGATCCGGACTCAAAATTGACATGAGCTGCCCAACCCACCAGGGGACCTTTGGGGACTTGGGCTTTCTTGTCCCGAGAACGCACGCCAGGGAAGACCTTAGTCAGTAAAGTAGAACACCAGAGCTCAGGTAGTGAGGGTGACCTTTGGATCTCAGGACCCAGGACCCCAGCCTTGGGGCTCTGGCTGGGCCACTCCTTATCCTACCTTCTGCCTCCTACACACAGGTCCTTTCTGGTAGATGACAGACGTTGAAGGGCAGGCACAGCGACTACCAGCAGCCAATGAAACCTGTCTGAGTACAGCCTAAAAAACAAATGTTCAAAATAACTGAAGTTTTCTCAGCAACACCCAAAGTTGGGCACCTTGCCAGACCTTAGCTTTAGGAGGGGGTGTAGGGTATTTCCTGCCCTCCGGCAGGGAGGAAGAACCCTGTGCCCAAAGATCTGATGAGCCAGTTCTGAGTCTTAGAGTGGGGGTAAGGTTTGAGAAAACTCCTTTGATAGTCTTGATATCCCAAAACTGAGTGGGTTCAAAAAATCACTCACTTGTGGGGGCCGGTGGTGCACAAAACTGTAAAACCAGCGACTTAAGAGGCTAAGACAGAAGAATCACAAGCTCAAGACCAGCCTCAACAATGTAGTAAGACCCTGTCTCAAAGTAAAAAATAAAAAGAACTAGGAGTGTAGCTCCTGGTTTCAATCCCCAGTATAGAAAGAAAGAAAGTTTTGGTGGCTGGGGTTGTGGCTCAGTGGTAGAACGCTCACCTAACACGTGTGAGGCCCTGGGTTCGATCCTCAGCACCACATAAAAATAAATAAGTAAGTAAATAAATAAAGGTTTCGTTGTCCAACTACAACTGAAAAATATATATTTAAAAAGAAAGATTTTTTTTTTTTTTGGGGGGGGGGGTGGTACCGGGGATTGAACTCCGAGGCACTCAACCACTGAGCCACATTTCAGCCCTATTTTTTTTTAATATTTATTTAATTACTTTTAGTTTTCGGCAGATACAACACGTTCTTTTGTATGTGGTGCTGAGGATAGAACCCGGGCTGCACGCATGCCAGGCCAGCGCGTTACCGCTTGAGCCACATCCCCAGCCCTCAGCCCTATTTTGCATTTTATTTATAGACAGAATCTCACTGACTTGCTTAGCGCCTTGCTTTTGCTGAGGCTGGCTCTGAACTTGCATTCCTCCTGCCTCAACCTCCCAAGCCTCTGGGATTACAGGTGTGTGCCACCGCAGTCTGGCCAGAAAGTAAGAAAGAAAAGAAGGAAAGAAAGAAAGACACGCACCTGTAGCCACAACCCTGTACACCAGGTTCCTCTCAAGTCCCCAGGATCCAAAACACTCTACCAACACCCAGCAGGACTCCACACAAGGGCCAAAGGCAACACATGCAATGCTGGTTAATTGTTTAAAGCAGATTTCCAGTTGTAGATCCTTTTTTTTCTGAAGACTGGGACTTCAGGAAGGGGCGGGGAAATGAGTACAGTTACTTCCTTCTTAGCAAAGGGCTTGGTGGGAGAGGCCTGCACACAGAAAAAAGTGATTTTTTGGCTCTGCACAGAAGTGGCCACGCCTGTGAATTCTCAGAAAGTGCTTAGAAAAGTCACACGTGGATAGTAACAATGCTGAAGCGTTTGCCTCGTTGCAGCCAAGTGCTATGTGTATCATGTCCCTTAGTCCTCCCTGCTACCTTATCAGGTAGCTATTATTCTATCCCTGGGTCACAGATGAGTGATCTAAGGCCCTGGGAGGTGAAATAACTTGCCTGAGTGAGGGAGCAAGGACTTGAGTCTGGTGAGTTGCTCCAAAGCTCAGCTTGCTCTGTGCCTTGATTTCAAGAACAGGAGGTTGGTGGGGGTGGAAAATACCAGAATCAAGTTTCATTCATGCTTCTCTTGGTGTAGGGAGAGACCCTGGCTGCTGCCTGGCAAGCTGCTAGATTTGAGGACGGGGGCAGGCCTGGGGAGTTGGGTTAATGTAGCACCCACAGAGCAGCAATAGTCATTCCTGTCCAGGTCAGAGGGTCCTTACCTAGACCTTCCCCATATCAAAAGCAGACACAGGCAGGGCTTGGTGGCACACTCCTGTAATCCCAGCGGCTTGGGAGGCTGAGGCAGGAGGATCATGAGTTCAAAGCCAGCTTCAGGAACTTAGCGAGGTCTTAAGCAACTTAGCAAGACCCTGTCTCTAAATAAAATATTAAAATAAGAGCCAGGGATGTGGCTCAGTGAGCATCCCTGGGTTCAATCCCCTATACCAAAAAAGAAAAAAAAGAAGAAGAAGCAGACATAGGAAAAGTCTTACCTTTGCTTTCCCAAGGAGCAATTTAGCTTCCTAGAAACTCCCTAGTTTCTGAAAATTACTTCATAAGGATATAGGGAATTCCCTTTGCTTTTTCTTCTGTATAATTGGCTACATAAAAGTCTGGAAGGATAGATGACAAATGATTACTCTATGCAGTAGGAATCTGGGTGATTTTTATTTTATTTTCCCCCTTTTGCTCATTATATTGAACCTATGTTGTTTAATGTTTAAAGTGTGCACTAAAAAGAGAAAACCTCAATATTGTGTCTACCTTGGGAATGCCTTCGCCTTCCTCTGTCCTCTCTCCCCTCTGCTTCTGTCCCCTGTTTCTCTGAATCATTTCCCTGTTTGGACTTTTTCTAATGGAGGCCTTGAAGACACAGAAACACTGGGGCCAGAAAGAGCAAGTTGTAGCCTGGATGTCAGGAATAGAGATGATGGAGACCAAGTAATCAGGGAGGCCAGCCAGAGCCTGATGGGTGGGCCAGTTCATGAGCTAGCCTGACTGGAGAAAAAGTCCTGTAGAGAAGGCAAGAGAGAGAAGGTCTCTGAGGGGACTGAAGCCCCAGTGTCTGGGTCTTTAAATGTCAGGTGGGGAGTTTCTTCTGCACAGATTTTATCCATGCATGCCGTGCACACATGTCCTGTCTTTCTCTTTTGTGCTAGGACTGTGCTAGGCATGGGATAGGATTGCTGGTGAATGTATCACAGGCCAGGCCTTGTGATCATGGTGCTTTCAGTTGGGGAAATGGATATAACATTAGTATCCAAATAAGTAATTAATGCAGATGGGATGAGGGCTATGAAGGATACATTGAGCTTGCAACTGTGAGGGGTAAATTGAAATAATAAAAGTCTAGCTTTCCTTAAAAGTGTGCCATTTAAGCTTGTCACTGGATTGGGCTCCTGGGAATTAAACCCAGGGGTGCTCTACCACTGAGCTATATCCCCAGTTCTTTATTTTTTATTTTGAGACAAGGTCTCATTAACTTGCCAAGGTTGATCTCGAACTTGTGATCCTCCTGCCTCAGCCTGCTGAATCTCTAGGATTACAAGCATGTGCCACCACACCCAGCTCCTGGAAGGTTCTTGATTTGTGCCACAGAAAGAAATTTCAGGATGTGTCAAAAGAGGCACAAGAGATTTATTTAAGAAAGCAAGCAATGGAGCAGGATATGCATTCAAAGAAAAGAAGGAGGAGAATAGGCACTCAAGAGTGAGATAGACTTTTGGGGGTATTGGAATTTTGTGAGTGTGTGGCATTGGGAATTGAGCCCAGAGATGATCTACCACTGAGCTACACCCCAAGTCTTTTAAAATTGTTTTATATTTTGAGAAAAGATCTTGCCAGGTTGCCTAAGCTGGCCTTAAACTTGTGATCCTCCTGCGTCTGCCTCCCAAATAGCTGGGATTAGGTTGCTATGATTTGAATATGGTTCATTCTCTCTGAAATTCATGTTGGAGTTTAATACCCATTGTGAGGTATTAAGAGGTTAGTAATTTAATCCAATTATAGTGTTTAGAGATGAATCCTCTAGGAGATCCTTAGAATTAGATAAAGTGATCAGGGTGGAATTCCTATGATTGAATCCTGGTGGCTTTATAAGAAGGAGAGAAACTGGTGGAGATACATTCAGGCTCCTTCTTTCTTGATATGTAATGCCCTGTACCACCTTGGGACTCTGTGAGCAAGAAAGCCATCAATAAATGAGGCCCTGAAACTTGGGCCAGAGTCATGAGTAAAATAAACCTATTTTCTTTATAACTTACTCAGCTTATGGTATTGTATTATTTGTAACAGAAACATACTAAGATATAGGTACTGGAGGTTAGGACTTTAACATATTTTTGGGGGACACAATTCAATCCCTAACAAGGCCAGTTATATAAGGAGGGGACTCAAGAATGAGTAGGATGCTTGTCAGCTGTGGCCAGGGCCTCAGAGCCTGGAAAGCATCATGACAGCTGTTTGCATGGGATTGTTCTCAATACTCAGACCAGCTCTATAACAGGCAAGTTGCCTGAAGCTCTTCCAGATTGACCATCTAGTCATCCAGGAAGAAGCTGAGGGCCATGGAGGGAAGTTAGGTCCAAGTTGCAGGCTGCCTGGCTTCCAGGCTGCTATTTTCAGGCCAAAGTCCCAGTAGTTACTTCTTCCCTCCAGATACCCCGGAAGTGCTGGTCTGGGCAGTCTCATTTCTATTTCCAGCCCATTTACAGTTCCTCGTCTTCTCTGGTACCAGTCATCAGTGTTCCTGGAAAATTAATAAGCTCCACACACTCATTTAGGAGAACTGGGCCCTGGACAGGGTGTGAAGGGAGGCCTTTGGTCACTTAGAGCCTCTTTTTTGCCCACAACCTCATATCCCTTAATCTTGCTAGAACAGGACATTGGGGGATTTAAGTACCAGTTGTCTACAGTAGACTTGTGATCCAGTCTGGCTTCGGCATCTCCTAGCTATGTGATATTGGCCTGGTTATTTAACCTCTTTGAGTCTCAGTTTTCTCATACTTAAATGGAGATAGTGAGCATTTTTTTTCTCTCTCTCTCTCTTTTTTTTTTTTTGACAGTATTGGGGATTAAATCCTAGGGCAATTACCACCAAGCTTCATGCTTCACCCTATTTTATTTTATTTTATTTTAGTACTAGGGATTGAACCCAGGGCACTTAAACAATGAGCCACATCCCCAGCCCTTTTTTTGTATTTTATTTAGAGACAGGGTCTCACTGAGTTGCTTAGGACCTCACTAAGTTGCTGAGGCTGGCTTTGAACTCATGATCCTCCTGCCTTTGCCTCCTGAGCTGCTGGGATTACAGGCATGTACCACTCTGCCTCCCGCTATTTTATTTATTTATTTTTTGGTTGTTTATTTATTTGGTACCAGGGATTGAACCCAAAGGCACTTACCCACTGAGTCACATCCCAAGTTTTTTGTTTGCTTGTTTTTGAGACAGGGTCTCACTAAATTGCTAAGGCTGGTCTTGAACTTGTAATCTTCCTGCTGTAGCCTCCCGGGTTGCTGGGATTACATGTCCTTCTCTATATTCAAACTTTTTAAGGAGCTTGTTAAAGTCTGCAAACCTTCTTCCAAACCTTTCTCTGTAAACTTTCCAGGGTTCTTTTTCTTCTCCTGCAATTTCCCTTTCTCTTTCCTTTTTTCAGCTATGCCTTCCTGTACAAGTTCCAACTCCTATTAGTCTGTTTCTTAGAACCACTCTTGAGATCTTAGGAGATCCTCAACATCATGCTCATCCACAGGTTAAAATTGTTTACGATCTTAATAACAAACTTGTTGACTTTTGCAACTTCCTCATCCTTGGTAAATCCTTTGAAGACACGGATGAAGTTCTTGAGCGTCTTCTCCCAGATATCATTCATATATTCCTTGGTGACACATGAACACCAAGCCCAGGCCAAAAAAAAATATCTCCAAGTGCTGGGGATTGAACCCAGGGTTTTGCATATACTAAACATTCTTTACCACCGAGCTCTCTCTCAGCCCCAGAGCAAGTTCTTGATGCAGTCATAGACATTACACTTTTTCCAGAATTACATCAGTGTGTTCCTCTGTGTAGCAACACACTGGGTAAGGCCCTCTTCAGGTAGTAGGCCTTAAAAGCTACTCTAAGTCTTTGGTTGAATTGAAGAAGTGGAAGGAGAAACAGCACTTCACTATTGAGATTAAGATCACCAATAAAGGAGTTTGGGGGTAGAGCGCTTGCCTAACATGTGTGAGGTCCTGGGTTCAATCCTCAGTACCACATGTAAATAAGCAAAATAAAGGTATTATGTCCCTCTACAACTAAAAATATTAAAGAAAGAGAGAGAGAGAGAGAGAGAGAGAGAGAGAGAGAGAGAGAGAGATCACCAATAAAGGAAGGGTGTGCAAGAGCATTACCAACATTAAGCAAAATATTAAAAGTTTCTTATTCTCTAAATAGCACCTCTCCATTTCTCTGTCACTGCAGTTAAGAAGGATACCTTGGAAGAGGAGCTGGGTCATATGTGACTTCTTATTGCTCCTGTAGTAGACTGGCACTGTGTTTTATTGCTGTACCTGAAGACCTTGGGGTTTTCACCATGCCAGATCATGAAGGGTTTCAATTTGTAACCTGTAACATTGCTTCCAAGCAAGATTATTATTCTATCCCTAAAAGCTTTG